AAATGTTTAATCTATGATATAAGGGTGGGTGTTAAAAGCTTCTTTAATGTGAATACCTCATTACAGTGAATATTTTAAATTCTCGTCAAGCGTTTGTTGTTTGAAATTGTCTTCTTCTCAGTGAACATCTTCTTATAATGAATTGTCAGCGGGTTCTTATCAACTTCAATCAACTAGAAAAACTTTCTAAAAATGAAAATTTTTTATTCTACTTAGACTCTTATATGTTCTCGTGCACATGTAAGAAGGAAATACATCTATACAGTGAACACTTAAATATTGTTATGAACATTTACATTAGAGTGCTTTTATTTTAGTCATCTAAATTGATGCTAGTGACTTGTTGGACTTTTTATGAAGATTAATACTTAATTCTATTGTATTATTATCATAACATCGACATGGAAAAAATAGACAAGTCTTTTTCAGGCAGACATACCAGGCCGAAAAAAAAGATGACAGGCACAAGTAGATTGGGGACGGTATAGGTGAGACCTGCAGAAAGTATCACGAATAACATTCTACAGAGTTGAATTTAAACAGAAAAAAATGTTAGATTAATTGAAACTGAATTGATAGAGTGTAATATTCACATAGGAACAGCATAATTACTTAAATTACACACGCTTCTTGTGGTAGATGACGAAACTTTTTCTCAATATTATATCGTTTTCATAGAAGAGTATAAAATGAGAACTATTGTAGTCAATAAGGAACACTAGATAATAAACTTCATATTTTCAGAGATTGAATTCTAACTATTTTCATTAACAAGAATGCCTTTTTTTGTTTATCTAGACTTAATTTCTTCAATTACACAGGTAGATTATTTTGAGCATCAGTAGTCATCCGAATAATGAAAATAATTGCTTCGTTTCTCATCATTCAAGATCAACATTCTATCCTCTAAATTCTACGGTGGACAGAAGCATAATTGCATAAATTTTCTTTTTTGAGAGGCAATAGAAAGTTTTTTTTTTCTTTTTGTTCTTTCTTTCATTATTTATACTAAACAAGCTAAGAGTATCCATAACCCTATGAACTATAGGAAGTTATATTGATAATATATAAAATACTATAAAACAGAACACATGAATCATTGTAGTATTGCAAACAAGATTACCAATTGGTTATTCATTTCATTCATATATACCCGTATTCAAACACGTATTTTAATACTAATGAATTCTAACATTATATCAACGAAACATTTACTTCATTCACCATTGATCTGTCGTATATGTGGTGATGTGGTACGAGATATGAATTTTGATGTTATGACTTGTATGGCTTGTGAAGCTTTTTTTTCGACGAAATATATTACGATCATTAGTAAGTTCTTATTTTTATCTTACAAAATTATCTAAATGAATCTATTGAATAGAGTACATGACAATCTAATTGTGAAATAACAATAAAAACACGAACAAAATATCTAGATTGTCGTTTAAACAAAGTGTTTTACATTAGGTATGAAACCACAATTGATCCATTCCTTTACTCGACATCAAGTTATTTTATAATGATGTTCGACAATCAATAACAACCAACAAACAGCACATTCAATTGTCAATAGTCAAATATGAAAAAAACAAAATTTCCTTGGTTATTTTGTCTTTTTTGCATTCTATAGCTTGAACCACTTGATCTTCCTCCAAACAATCATTCAATACACGGAACTGAACAATGAAATCTTCTTTCAAGTATTATTCATATTTCTGATGAACACAATATTGTTAATAATGCTAAATGTTTACTAACTGAAGGATCATCGTTACAAGCAAGACTACCTGTAGAACATTATTTGCATTAAATTATATTAATAAATATATTTTATACATTGAAACAATGATTAAATGACTATTGCATGTTCATTCTCTAACAATTGATTCTTGTCAAACATTTATGAAGCATATTATATAGCTCGCAAGTTTTTTTTTAAATAGAATTTTCATTTGTCTTAAATTTGAGTTTTCGAAACAAAAAAGATTTTGTAATATCCTTCAATATTTTATTTCGATCTAATTATTTTATACAGTTTATTGTAGTACTAAAATGAAAGAAATCCAAATAATATATTCTTTAAAATAATGTTGTGGATCATTGCTTTTGTAGTTAATTATCTCATTATTGCCTTTGATAACCTCTACTGAATATTAAAAATACATCAAAGTCGATTAATCTCATTCATGTTCATTTTTTCTTTGTAATGTTATCGTGAAAATATTTAGTTTATTAATATGAATATACTGAAGTAACACTTCACCATTCTTCTCTCGTAAAAATCTTATTAGACATTTTTCATGAATTAGAAGAATTAAATTCAATGATTTCGGCAGATTTTCGCCGAAAAGACATCGTTTTCGGCTACAAAACTCAGAAAAATGATAGGAGTTCGGTAATCGGATCGTCTAATTCCGGTCGTAACCGAGCAGAACTAACCACCAGATTCCTACTTACGAGTTTCTATCACTTTGTCGAGCTTTTCGGTCTCAATACAGCCCATATTTCTTGACCTTGGTAAGCAGTTGAAGTCAAACATTTTCAGTAAATGCTTAGCATAACTATAGTACAAAGAGAACATACGTATGTGAATGATAGATTATTGAATCGAACTGTATTCAATATTTCAAGGCATAAGAAAAGTTTTATATTAATGATCTTCATCATTTATATGATGAAGTTTAAAAAAAACTAGAATTATAGATAATTCTATTCTAGGTTATGGCGTCAACTCGTCCTACTTCTATATATACCATTTTTAATAAATAAAAAAAAGGGTGGAATTGATGAGTCTATATGCCACAGATATATTATGATATTGATAATTTAATATTTTAGTATGCAACCGACTTTTGTGTTGATAAGAAAAAAAACCAAGCTTTTTATAACATACTTAACGAAATATTACTTATTAAAACTTATTTTGACTAGTTGCATAACTTTATAACGATATTAAAAGTTTTAAAATAATCATGTCTTATTTTCTTTTGTAATATCTTTTCTTTACCAAAAAATAATTATATTTCTTGATGAATTGAACAAACGATATTCAATTATTTTTAGTTGTAATGATTTCATCAATTATCATTAGGTGAAAAAGATAAAATCAATATAATCAAGATCGGTATAAGAATAAGTAACAGCTTTAGACAAGAATAGGATATGTATAGAGTATTACAAATTATTTTCTCTCTTCAGCTCTTTAGATTAACGATCAAGGATTGATTCTTATGGTTTTAACATACTCAATATTCTATTGATTTTACAGACTTATATCTGGCGGAAATTGTATATTCTTACATTGTTTTCCTTTGCCGAAATGTCCTTCATAGTTCAGGTACAGTGCGATTGTGTGCTGTTCTCTTAGACAGACCAATATTTTCAAAGTGAGTTCTACTTAGAGCATACTAAAAGTACTGTTATCTTGATGAAAAATAAAAATAAAAATAAGCTCATTAAATTTTTCATCAAATGGGCGCACTAGTCATCATTGTTATTAATACATAATTACATTCACGCAATCCATTTATCAAACTTTTTTTTTCAGTCTTCTTTGCTGATTGAATTCAGGATCTTGGTTAAATGATGATGCAACGTTTCTGAATTGTTTTGATCGCATAGACATTATCTGATCAGATCAAACAGCCAAAAACCACATTGCATCAAGCCCGGAGAATTAGATGATTATGCCATGTCATGATACCTTCGGATTCAACGAACGTAGAAACATCTTCATGAGCATGTGGTTTTGCATTATCATGACAAAGTTCAATCACATCTGTATTAGATGATTGCCTTTGCTTTTTGAATCCATTTCGAAGAAATTTCAAGCAAGTAATCTTGAGAAAGATACAAAACAAGGTTCGTGAAGCAAAACAACTACGTCGAGACATACTAGGTGGAGTATTGCTACTTGCTATTCAAACAACTTTTGACGACTACCACCGAGATCGTTTGTGATAAAACCATGATTCGTCACCTGTTATTACATGACAAAATCGCCAGTGCATATGCGAACCGTTCGACTCGTTGAGCATCAATCAGTTGGCTAGGTAACCAACGAGTGATGATTTTTTTTGTCAGTTTCAGATAATCGGAAATACTTCGTTCGACGGTGTCATGACTTAGAGTAGTTTGTATTTGCAATGTGTCAATCCTAATATGAGGATCATCATTGATAAGATAATCGACTTATTCGATATTTTCAGATGCTGTCTCGGTTGCGCATCTACCATATTGTGGTTTATCTTCAATTTCTTCTTGATGTTCATAAAACCCTTTTAATCATCTTTCAACTGTTCTGAGAGATGGAACTTGATCGTCGAAAACAGAATTCAGTTCACCTTGCATTACTTTCAGTTGAGTATGAAGTGCTTTAGGTACTTTAATGTGAAAGCGAAAGTTTTTATTATTTATCTAAAATAGGAGTAAAGCTTCCATCGAACTTTTCTCATACAACAATATCAATTGTAGAACGACAATATATTGACAAAATATAGATCCAGATCAATCAAAACTGATTTCATTTATGGTCTGTTTTCTACCAGTAAACGATAACAAACGGCAACTTTAAGGCAGTAATATAGACCATATTATCTCGTAATCGTGTCCATAGTAATAGGATACCGTATATGTGTCGTAATCTGCAACGACACGATCGTTTTTCTGTATTCAGTATTATGATGGTATATATGGCCTGTATTTTTTTTAACCTGGAGGGTATAATTTGTGCCAACAGAATATGAAACGAGAAATTTTTCTCGAGTTTTCTATATAGAATTATAGCATCGTCGCCACTACTTTTAATATGCTCTAAATATGTCTTCATTCTAATTGATCAGTATTTTCTTCAGAAACAAATATTCCTAATCGTAGAATAGAAAAAAAAATCAGAAGTTTGATATAAATAATTTTTAATATCGAATATATAATACAAAGCTGAAAACACACATATTCTGTAAGAATAAACAAGAATAAGAAAAAAAAATTCTTTTTTTCTATGCTGATATAATAAAATCTCCATTTTTTAAATGTGTTACTTTAGGTAATGGTGATCGTTTTTTTGTTAAATGTTCATTTGTTGTTAATGATGCATGATCAATAAATGGATTAATACGTGACAATGATGGTGATCGGATATGTAATGGTACTCGTCGTCTTTCATCAATTGTTTTTTGTTGTCGATTAAATCTAGGTGATAAATTTGTGTGTGGTACAAGACCATGGACAAATGTTGATCTTGTTAAATAATTTTCATAATTTGAAGATATTACTGTTGATATTGGTTGTTGTTTTAATTGATGATGATAATCAATATCTGTTGGTGAATCAGCTGATGTAGCTGTTGATGTTGATTGAGCAAATGAAGTTGATGAAATTTTATCTTCAGATGATTTTGATGATACACGAAAACGATTTGATTTAATAATTATTATAATAATAAGTAAAACAAGAATAAAAAATAATATTATAGCTATTGCTATAGCAATTAATGTACGAATAAATGCTGTCGTTTGATGTTGACGATTAATATGTTTATATGTTGAAGATAATAAATAATAAATTGGTGATGTTGTTTGTGTTGGTATTGTTGAAGAAAGAAAAGGTTCATTGAATAATTCTTCATGAATTTGTCGAGATATTGTTGATGGACGACATTTATTACCATCGCAATATGTACCTATAATAAAATAAAATTTGGCTTTTTTTTCTTTTTCTTTTTCTTTTTTTTCTGTTACCTGTTGGACATTTTCTTATATTCGATCCAATTCTTTGATCATCATTATTATCAAATCGACATACTCCTGTTGGTTCTAATTCACAATCAAATACACCATTAATTTTTCTCACTTTACGTGTTAATTTTGGACAAACACAATGTGATGTTTCACTATTATCACACCATTTTAAACAACGTCTTGGAAATTTTGTACAATTACTTTGATCAATTGAATCTGTACAAAAACGTCCAATACCTGTTATATCAATATTAGCTATATTTTCATTAAAACATTCACATGTTTGTGTTAATTTATTGCAATGTATAAGATCTTTAATGGAATATGAATTTTGACAATCTTCATCATATTGACATTTCATATCAATTGATTTTTCGTAATTTATTTTAAAATTAAATGTTTCATTTGATGCTGTTAAATAAACTAATTCTCGTGAACAATCATATGCTTTACATGAACGAAGAGAAATTTCTCCTAAAAAAAAAAGAAACCCAGTAAATTATTATATTTTATTTTAACTCCTTCGAGTTCCAACGCTCATATTTATGCTTCAGTTCTGATTAGAGTCCGTCGGGCTCGTCTAAGTTCGAAAATTTTGGACTCAGTAGGCTCTAGTTCTAATTCAACTAGTAACTGACTTCAATATATTTCTTATAGTGACGTAACTCGAAAGTTTTCACTAGAAGAATAGCCAGTAGAGATCAATTTCTACTATGGGGCTAAAGTCGTTTTTTCAGCTGAAGAAATGCTGTTCATTCTGAGGCCTTATCCTTGTCTGATCACCTAGCGGCTACGCTACTAGTCTCTTATGTTACTGCGATGACAAAGATAATCCTACGGATCATGGATCCGAGATTTCGAATATATCCTAAAATTATTATTCATATTGTGTTTTCATTCGTCTTCTTTCTTTCTGGAGCTAGACTGATTACTTCTATGCTATTTTCTTGGTTTTTCGATGAATCATGACACCTGATATCCATTTCTTTTGTAATATCCTTGTTATTTTCATATGAGTTCTCTCTTTTCTAGTGTATTCGGGTTCTGTCCACTATCTATATATGTATACTGTCTCAGAATCTCAAAAAAAAAAGATATATCTTTCCACAGTAAACCTATTCTTAAGAGATTAATAAAAAAAGACAAACCTGGTTGTAAAAAAAGAACTGATTGCATGCCAAGATCAGTTATATTCATAACACTCAATTGAGTTGTCATGTATTCAGCTGTTGATAAGAGTCGATTAGGATATTTATTATGTCTCATTGTATATTGACATTCTGTAAATGTCAAATTAACCGGTTGATGAGCACATTTTATTAATAAAGGTACAAGTAACATCCAACGATTACCTAAATTATAAATAAGTGTATTATTAATATTATGATTTTGACCAATTGAATAATAGCCAATAAAATCAATTGAATTCGAATTAAGAATATTTGCACCAAGTGTTATATAAAGATTTGTATCAAATACACATTCAGCTAATATAACAGATGTACGTATATATGGACAAGTAGTCAATATTTGGCTAACAAAAATGTGAATATAAACAAGAAACAATCGAATAAACATGGCATGGCATGTGTAGTATTCACATCATCATCTAAAAAAATAAAAAAATGTTAATACAGTAGATGGATCGATCAATATTTATTTGATTTTATAGCCTGCCCAGTCGGTGCCCATTGTCACTTGTTTCGATTTATAAACAATAAGCAGACTTGCTGCCATGCATATATATATATTTTAATATAAAATAGTGTGATTAGAACAGTATGGGCGGTAACCCTGTTGCACAGTATGCCTACTCTTCTCATCATCATTATTCTATTGCAATCAATAAACTGTCAAATATAGCGAATGTTTCTCATCAACTGCACACATCATGAAAATATATATTATCGTTTGATTCTTGTTCATACTAAAATAGACAGACTATTTATTTTATTCAATTTTACATTTAATAGTCTTTCACTTACTTATTCTTCTTTATATATATAGTCGACTATTTTAAAATAAACTGATTAAGTTCTATTAATGATATGGAATCAGTACCAAAATTATTCAATAAGATTTATTTTTAATTTTTTCTTTTTTCGTTGTCGTACGCATTAGAAAGGATTCAAATAGTGAGAAAATGGTTTCTGACAAGCATATAAGGAAATAAAAATTACTATCAAATTCACAAAAATAGCAATTCTAAGAAACCAACACACCCTAGCCTTTTTTTTCTAGTACCTAAAACGCTAGAGTAAACAATTCTCTACAAAATGAGATGTCTCCGAGTTTTCTGCGATATTTTTCAGCTGAGATGCACCAGTTTGTTTGAAGATTAAAAAAAATGACTTTTCTAATAGAAATTGGAAAAAAAGGTTTTAGAGGCTTTCATAAAATTGTTATATTTTAGCTAAAAATCGTCGCAGAAAACTCGGAAACATCTCATTTTGTAGACAATTATTTACTCTAGCGTTCTAAATGCTGGAAAAAAAGCTAGACTTTTGGTTTTCCGAAGTCTCTGTCTTCGGAAACAAGATAATAGCTATTATTTTGCCTATATTCCTTTCGGCAACAATTTTCTCACTATTTAGATTCTTTCTAGTGTTTATGGCAGCGGAAAAAAATTTGACAACAAACCCTGTTAAATAATTTCGATACCCACTTTATGTATACTTGCATCATGCAAAAAAAAATATACATTTTTTGAAGTATAAACTTCTATTGAAATGATCAAAATCAAAGTTGATCGAATTGTTCAATGTCATATGTTAAACCCATTTGAAACCTTGATAATAGATGAATGTTGGTATGAATTAGAGTGTTAATGTATCAAAGAAATATAGTTTAAATCTGATGATGATAGACAATGTTGATGTTGTATTTATATTGACTAAAGTGAACGATTTGCTCACTCACGAGTGTTAATAGGTTCCTGGTTGTATGCTTCATAATATTGTGGTCTAGTGATGATTGCGGATAATCGTGTCGAATTTCCGCATTACTCTTATTCTTTCTTTTCTCTAACATTTACATCACACAAACGTATAAGAAAGAGTGAAAAAGAATCTTTCCTTTTCTCTCTCTCTCTCTCGTGCACCCCAGAACGTTGTTTGTACAAATCACATGAAAGATAATCATTTTGTGATACATATATACGCACACATACGGCTACGCTCTATTTTTTTTCTCTTCATTCTTCACTATGCCTCAGAAAACGATGCTAATTACTTGATCTATTCGTTTTTTTTCTGTTTTGAGCTAACATACACACTCAGAAAGAAGTGTTTTACCTGTAGAAACAATTGACTACTTGGACATCTGTACTATATGCCATTGGCAATAATAAAAATTAAATGAACAATACCATTCTGCTTTTTGGAATAGTTATAATGATTGACAGTTGTGAGATTATATGACGACACAGTTCATTTAATGAATATAGGGTATTGTTAGTATGTTTAGACGATGATGGTACATCACATCATATGCTCTTTTGCAATAGATGTATCGCCTCGAGATAGTCGAATGTGATGGCATTGATTATGCAACAAGAACAATAAATTGTACGCTCTATAATGTATGTGAATGATCACTTCTAACAAAATTGATTCTCTCCCCCTCTCTCTCGCTCTCTGTCTTTCTCGTTTTGGAAACATGCGCGAATAAACATTCCATTGACTCACGTACACTTTTGAAGATGAACAAAACAATATTCATGATTTATGTGTCTATAGATGATTATCATTCATTGTTTTTCTTTTAAGTGATCGAGATATTCAATAATCTTCAACTATTCCATGTCAAAGAAAATCATCACTACATGACTGTCATGGCCATGATGATTTGTTGTTGTTTACATGATGTTACAAATATACGTGAATGTTGATAAGATTCATTGATCTCTGTATATTCAGATGTGAACCAAATAAACGTTATATGTATTATTCTAGCAAATAATAATAAGCAGTAACTTGAGCTAATACTCATTATTTAGATTTATTGATTTTTTTTTCTCATTATATTTCATATAAAAATTATTCAAATAAATTGGTTGATTAATATTGTTTTTCACAATAATATAAATGAAATGTTTATTATGACAGTTTGATTAGAGGGCAATAGAAAATGTTAACGATAAGAAAAACTGTCGACAATCAATAACGATTATTAATATTATTATTATTTCAAAAAAAAAAAGTTATTTTATTCATCATCAACATTAGTTCCAATAATAAGTGCACGTTGATATACATCAAGTTTTTCTAATGATATTTTAGGTAAATTGAAAGCAGAGCTACCTATATGAAAAATAAAAAAGAACGATTTTTCAATTTAGTTTTTTTTTCTTTTGTTCAAAAATTCTTACTTGCTTCTATTAATTCAGTACTCCAATGTGTTAATGTACAATTATTTTGTGCCAATAGTTTTCTTTTCTTTCGAAATTGATCTAATGTTTGATTATATACAAATGTTGCTGGACTCATACTAACATAAGCAACAATTCGTAAGAAATCAATTGATTGATTTTTTAAACTTTCATCAGAAATAAATGCACAAGAATTACAATGTACAAGACGAGAATCCCATACAACAAGATCACCAGATTGACAATGAATAAATTTTCCAATAGCATTTCCTCGATCTAAAATTGAATGCATACTTGGAATTGCAACAAAATCTTTTGAACGACGTGCAAGATTATTTAATTCATTAAAACGTAAATGTGTATGTGAAAAAACAATAAGACCACCTGTTATTTCATTATTATCAGTTAATGAAATAAAAGCTTGTATACAACATCGATTAGGTTTTAAAATAGGATTTTGATCAACACGATACCATCCCATAGTTGTTTTCCATTTTGGTTCATAATACCAATTACGAAAAATTCCACAATCGTCAAATGAAACTAATAATTCATTTGTATTCCATATATGAGAATAAACTCGTTTTATATTACGATTTGAACGAATATTCCACATAAAATCCGATTGACCAATACCACAGTCATTTATAATACCAAATAGTGTATTACCAGGCCTAAAGAAATATTTTTAAAAAGATTTTATTATTATTATTATTATTATTTTTCTTTTCTTTTCTTTTATGCCAATTATTTGACCATGTTGTTGGATCATTACGTTAAATATGACGTCCAGGAATGTTCTCTAAAAAATTCCATAGTAATTCTTTATTTATATTAATTTCATTTTGAAGCATTATATCACTAAAAATAGCATAACTATGTTCATTTAAATGAGTAGTACCATCATTAAGACTATCATTATTAGTTATTGAAAAACGCGGTGTTAATGTTGTATAATCAATACGTATATGATTTTTGTCTAAACAGTAATTTATTGAATTATTATCGGACATTACTAATTGATTCAAATGGCTTCTTTTTAGCTCAGATTACTTACATATATATATAAATATTAATAGTAATTTTGACATTACTTAAAAGAATTATGTAATAACTAATACATAAAAGAAGCCATATAGTTATTTCGCAATACAAATACTGTAAACATAACAGATGAATCAGAGTGAATTCATGAACCCTCGAGGTTTAGACAGCCGTAATAAGATATCCATCTGTTGTTGTTTTTCTAAGTTCAACACAAGACACATTTGTATAGCTTTGATAATGATAATAATAGGAGGTGATTCATTGATGCCACACTAAAGTTTAATCCTTTACCTTCTATTGGCCATTTTTGACAATGATTGAATCAATACAAGTATACTAAGTACAAATATTTTTTACTTAACTATTGTACTTTGTACTTGTATTTAAGCACATTTTACCTTAGTCCGCTTGTACTTAGTACTGGTACTTAGTACAAATGTACTTCATTAACTTCTAATCTATACCCGTACTAAGTACACAAGTACTTAAATGTAGTTTAATATTTTGCTTTGATAAATATTCTTTTATGAATGTCTATT